GCTATGATTTATTACAGTGAGATGATATAAAGCAAAATCAGCAGTGGGAAAATACTCATGAAATAATTTCTGGGAGAAACCATATACAAGCTTTGAAGAGTTCTCTCAGTGATGTCACATAGGATGTACTTCATTCTTCCAGCAGTGAATTGTGACATTAGTGAAGTAATGTCTTCCGGGGAAGCTCATTAGAAACTCGGTGTCCAAGGTTTTTATTGTGGCTGGCCACAGGTAAACACTGCTTAGCACATAGAATTCCAGACTCCCAGAGGGTGTCATGCTGTTCAGCATAAACCACATTGTACAGAGAGTTTAGGCACAGTGAGCTGCCCTCACCATTTAGGGAAGTTTCTTTATCAGTGTTAGGAACTGTTTACCAATCAAGTTTACAGACACTAGCCAAGGGCTTTTCTCAAGATAGCAGTTCCAGGTCTGCTATATTAACTTTTCTGCACAGGTAAGACTGAGGCAAGGTGAGACCAACCTGCAGTATTGACCTCAGTCATGCTCTCTAGGAGTCCTGGATTTAGCCAGTTAAATCCTATTGACCATGGAGGTCTACTTTAGAATGTAGGCTCCCTCAAGTTGCTGCTGTATGAACCTTTTTTATTTGGCCAAAGGTATCAACTCAGGCCCAGCAGAACACTGACCAGTGAATTGAAGCTGACCTGAATGCCTTCCAGGGCTGAAGTAGTATCATAGTAGTACATTAGTATGGTTTATTTGTCACAACTAGTGAACCAATGCTGACACACTGTTGACTGAAGTCTGTAGAGTTATTAGTGTACCCGCTCACCCCTGACCCCACCAATGGATTTCCTTCATTTTTACCTAATACCCTTTTTCTGTCCCAAGATCCCATCCAGGATAATTTAGTTACCATGTCTCCTTAGACTCCTCTGGGCTGTGGTAGTTTCTCAGACTCTCCTGGCTTGTGATGATCTTGACAATATTGAGGGGTATGATGTATCAGTTATTTTATAGAATACCTTTCAATTTGAGTTTATTTCCTTCATGTTTACACTAGGGTTAAGGGTTTTGGGGTGGAAGACCACAGAGAAATGCTATTCTCATCACATGATATCAAGGGTACTACTATCAACCTGAATCTTCATGTCTATGTTAGCCTTGATCACTTGCCTGAGGTAGTGCTGCTCCACTGTAAGGTCCCTCCCCCCCATCCCATCACACTGTATTCTTTGGAAGGAAGTCACTGTATTTCCTATTTAAGGGGTGGGGAGTTATGCTTCACCTCCTTGAAGGCAGAGTATGCACATAAATTATTTGGAATTCCACCTGAAAGATTTGTATATTCTCTATGTATTCAATCACCTATTTATATCAATATGGGCTCACTGTTAATTATTTTGTATTTTGTATTATAATTCAATATTTTGTTCAAATTCTTCCAGCTTTAGTCATTTGGAGCTCTTTCAGTTGGCTTGTTTCCTTTGATATGCCCCCAGTTTTTTTTTTTTTTTTTT